GAAGTATGGGATAATGCGCCTACAGCTGTTCAATTTGTTTCTCTTTCCTTTTCATGGTGAGGTACATTGTTTAAACTCCTATGCTCAAGGGAGCTTTCACACTGCAGCACCGGCTTACAGACTTTCTTTGAAGAGATTTGGGGGTGGGCTGAATTCTATAGATATAGATATATAGCCAGGGTTATTGGCTGCACACTTCAGCAAAATACATTTAATGATATATTATGGTCACTGTGATATTTACAGGAGAAAGTTATCTAAGGAAATGCTGCTTCTGAAGCACATTTGCAGTTAACAGTAAGGTACCAGTTAAGTAGCTTTTGCTCTTAATGCTGAGGGATAAAAGTTCCAAAGCTTTATATGAATGCTGATATATCCTGCCAACACACGTGTGTGAGTGAGGGGGTGTTTGCAAGTGTGAGTGGATGTGAGGAAATCCAGCATGGTCTGAGTTCTCATCACACCAGCTGTAGCACATGTCCCAGTACACCACAACAAACAGAAGGCCAGAATTTAGAGAATTCGTGCCTGCAGGGGAACAATTTTGAGGAGCTTTTCTTTCCCATAGCCCAGTCTGCACTCCAGCTGTGGGCAGCAGCCATCCAGCTGTGGCCCAGCTGCTGCTCTGGCCCTACCCAGCTGTGCCTCCTCCTCCTCCTCCTCCTCCTCTTCCTGTGCTGCAGGCACCCCATCCTCCTCTGCCCTCAGCCCCTGGGCACAGTGACCAAATGCATCATTCAGAACTCAGAACAAAGCTCAGCTGCTGTGGGGGAAGGGGGGAGTGGGGGGTCGTGGCCCTCCACAGAAAAGCAAAGGGTGGGGACAGTGCCAGTCCTGGCACTCAGGTGTCCCCAGCATCAGCTTCCCCCAGCCTGGCTTTCAGTGTCAGGTGCTGGATGGGAGCAGTTTGTTGCTGGCATTCTGCTTAGAAGCAGCATGTTTGGTCCCACCAATATATTTTTCTTTTTCCTTCTTTCTTATTTTTATTTTTTTTTAAGAGAAAGAAAAAGATCAGGCCTGTAAGAACAGCAGATCTTTTGTTGTTGTTGTTGTTGTTCTGTTCGTTTGTTTTCTCTGTTGTTTATGCTGTGAGCCAAATGTCTATTTAAAAGGTTGGATATTCACTTTCAATATTTTATTTCACAATATATTTGTCAATGATTAGCTATCTAGATGTAAATATGGAAAAATTTTTATGGGTTCCTGTAGATAATGATATCTTTAAGAAAAAGAAAAAAGAAAAAGATAAAAAGGGAAAAGTTGTTTTGTAATGATAATTTTTTGAAAAATAAATACAAGAACATTTTTATACAGTGTAGCCATTTCCAAACCCCAGGAATAAATTCTTGAGTAACTTGTACAGACCCTTCTGGGAAACCAGTGGTCTACAGGATCAAGGCTTTAAAATATAAATGCTCTTGGGGACTGGCAACACCAACCAGTGCCCCACAATTTAGAGACTTGTTCCCACAGAAAGAGATATATATATAAACTTCAGTATCTCTGAAAAATCCTTTGACTTATGTATGCTTTTTCTACTTTTATTCTGCAGCCCATTACCAAGAAGAGGGTTGCTTGTGAGAGTAAGATTCGTCGTGAAAGGCAGAGTTCGTAGAATCCTTTCTGTATTAAATTTCTGACATTACACCCATCACTTTTTGCTATTGTTGCACATTCACCAAATTTCATGATCCTGTTGACACCTCCCAAAATGTTGGAAAACATTCTCTATCAAAGCCAATCACGTGTATTATCACTTCAGAGTTCCTTCTTGCTTTGCATTTCTGTCAAAATGAGGTTTTGTTCAAAAGAGGATTTGGGGTTTTTACTGCTTGCCTGATATTGTCCTGACCTGCTCGTACCAGTAGAAAATGTGTTTGCCTTTCAGCAGAGTGACTGGAGCAGGGTTCTGAATGCTCTTATCAGCAGGAATATTTAGGAGGTTTTTTCCCATGAAATCAGGAAAGCAAAGGTTCAAATCACAGTGCTATTTTAAAGGGAAGGGACATAGCAGAATTCATTCAAAATAAAAAAGTTGTCTCCAAGATCCCAGTAAGTCTCGACCAGTTCCAGCTTGCATTGTTTTCATATCTCTTCAGTTACTTTAATTGATGATTTTATTTGGGCTTTTCTTGTACAAGTGATGTGCATACCTGATAGTATGAGAAGGATTTATTATTCCTCATTCTGGCCTTTAAAAATTAAACTTACAGAGATGCTTTAAAATGTCCCATCTCCAAGCACTTCTTTGTCGATTTTCAGTGCATAATCACTGCAACTGGATTTTAATACTGGATTTTATATTGCCTTTTCTGGAAGATGAAAAATTCTATTGCAGCAAGTGTTAGTGGGTGCCCAGTTGGTAAAATTACAAAGAAACATTCAATAATGCGTCAAAAATCCTGTGAGTAGATTTTCACATATTCCTCTAAACTGGCATACACAGGGTTGAAAAGCACTAGGAACAGCTAAGAAAAGTTATCTCAAAATGTGCTGAAATAAAACCGTTCTATTTTTCGGTTGCCATGAAGTAAAATTAGTAATTGTAATTTGTTTTCCTGCATTGCCAAGGCAGCTGTTGGAAACTGATCCACCACTGCTACCCTGTTTATGGGGACAGTCTGAACTGGACCTTTATGGTGAAGGAATTGCTGACAGACTTCAAATGAGAATGATTGGTTTTTAATACAAACTAGAAAGAAATTCCAGTGAAGAAGCTGAAGTAGCTGTGAGTGCTCAGCTTGGTAAGAAGTAACTTTTTTTTTCCCACTTCACATAGTTATTAATCCAGTTTCTGCAGGTGGCCCCTCCTTGTGAATCTGATTCTCAGTCTTTGAAGGGCACATCTGGCAGGCAGTGATCAGGCAATCTCCAGGCTGGCTTAGATATAACACAGAAGAAAACACCAGAGAGATTTTATGTCAAAAAACCTTTTTTTTTTTGCGGGGGGCTTTGGGATTCATAAATTACAAAGTGGGTAATTTCGGGGGCTTTATAATATTTTCTAATCCAAAGGAGGAAAAGCTTTTCTCCTGCAGTTACAGCAGCCTTTTGGAGGCAGATCTTGAAGGTTTCCCACTTTGTGTAGTCCTTTGGTGTTGCAAGCACCAAATAAACCACAACCTAATAAATATTTTAGGGAAAAAAAAACAAATTAAAGAAAATTGATTGCATTCAATCAGCAAAATGTTTTAGGTGGGATGTTTACAACGTTGATATGAATTCCTGGTACATGCCTTATGTAAAGCAGTGTGTTAGATACTAAAGAAAGCAACCCCCCTTTAATCAGTGTTTTGCAGTGGCAAACCCAAAGTACTTTTGTTTTCTGCTCTTTAAAAACAGCAAGAGAAAGACTAGATGTTTTTTTCCATTTGGATATTTTGTTTTCCCCATTTGAATGGCACTTGGTGTCTGATCCTGTTCTCTTTGGTCTACAAGTTTGCCCAAAATTCGAGGCTTTTGCTGTCCTTGCAGTGACTAAAGGACTCTGTGTCACATAGCAATCACATGTCAACACTTTTGTCCCTATATTGGCACTTTCATGGATAGCCACGTGGTGTTTACCATGGAATACAACTTTTCTCATTACACTTGTTTTGCAGAGGGAACACGGAGAGTGTCAAAGTCCCAAATTTATTTAAAAGGTATTTAATTTATCTTTTCTTATAGGAGGAGTGTAAGATACTAACTTCTAAGATAACAAAAATGCTGTGACTAAAAACAGTAGTTTCCACCATGTTCAAAGAGCCGTAGTTTACTATGCTCTGTATTTATGCTCCAATTCTAAAATCTTGGTTTGTTTTTAGCTAAAGTGAAAAGCATTTTGACACTTGCCTGTGAAAATCATCTACTTCCTCCAGTAGGAATTTGGTGTTTGATGAGATGTTGCAAGTTGTGCACCATAAGTGAGTGGCAGCACTCTAGGGAAAAGGGATTTTACTGTGCTCTTGGCAGGATTTTGGATGGCCTTGATCTGTGAATGAAATGTTTTACACAAAGCTGTGTGTCACCAAAGGCCCCCCTGTGACATTGTGCAGGGTTCTCACAGCAAACGTGGTCAGGTTGTGGCAGGAAATGGTTCCCAGGGTAGATGTCATTTGAGAATGCTTTTGTTCATAATGTAAGGATAGTTTTCTTCAGTTTGTATTCTGACATCATGTGTAAACTCCTCTCTGCATCATCATCAGCTTAAAGATGGATTTAGGTCTTTACTGTTAGTGTACCACTGTTAGAATTTCTTAAGATCCTGGTGGTCTGAATCTGGAAGAAAATTAAGGCTATTGAGGTTCAAATATATGCTTTTAAATATACCACTTGGCATCTAAGCAAGTCCCATTCTATGCATTCCTTGCTGCACATTTATTTGTTTGTTTTCTTTAAAATTCTAAATTTCAGTCTGCTTTTTTGCTAGAATTATTTTTTCTTTCTGAAATTCTGTCCCCATCTTTCCTCAGAAATGCCCTGGAAAGTAAAATGCAGTGTGGAGAAGGCAAGGATCTTGCCAAACTGAGCACCAGCCTGTGGCCTTGAGGGAGTCCTTTAGAGCCTGTAGGGACTCTCAGCACCCAGGGCTGCTGCTCTGTGAGCTGGGTCTAGCCCTGAGCAACCTGAGCCTAGCTGGATTTGGAATCCTAGAGAATTTTGTCAGTTTTCGAAATGAACCCTAAGCATTTTTGAAAACTTAGCCATAAGTCTAATGCAGCCAAAGGTTTGTGGTTGTTGCTGGCTGTTGATGAAGTGCTTGTGCACAGTCCGTGCAAGCCCTGCCTGCTCGAGGTGCCCCACACCCCGTGAATAGGGAAGGAAGGTTTCCAGCTAAGGATGAGAAGGCAGAAGGTCAGGCAGAAGTTCCCAAAGTGAAGAATTGACCTCTCTGCAGGCACTGAGGGCTGCCTGCTGCCCCCAGCCCTGGACACTGCCCTTCGAGCCTGAGGCTGTGGTAGCTGTAATAGCTGGGGCTATCCCATTATTATAAAATGGAATAAATGGAATAAATAAAATATTCCTCAGCTGACAGCTCAGAGCTGGGCAAGCACTCCTCGAGATGATGGGGCTGTGCACATGCAGCAAGGGAGTCAAAATAGCATTTTGGGGGAAGGAGAAAAGGAAATCGTAGTCCAGTATCAAACAGATTTTATAAAGCAAAATTTATTTTCCTTTCCTTTTGAAAGCAAATATAATCCTGCTGAAATGGGGTAATCATAGATTTTCTGGGAGTTTAATTGTTATTTGATGTTTCAGTATTAGTTAAAATGATGGCAGTGTTAAAGAGGAGATCATTATTCCCATTAATTAGAGAGAGGGAATATTTTTTTCCCTATTTTTCAGTGAATCAACAAGTAAGAATGTCTGGGGATCTTGGAGAAGAATATATGTCAAGTGATTTTGAGCAGATGAAAGAATAATAGAAATTAGGTGTCTTAAGTAACATTGGAAGAGCTTGCAAAATTACTGATTATTGGAGTCAAACCTTGATTTTGAGCAAAATGTCACCAGTACATTTGAGAGAAATTTCGTGTGATAAATCTTTCTTTGAATTTCATCACTTTCTTTTAGCAAAACAACATTCCTTTGCAGATGAATCAAAGCAGGGTTTGGCCCCTGCTGTGGTAGTTATTGAGTCCCAGTGTTGGAGGGAGCCGTGTGAGAATTATTCTCCATTTACAACCTAATGATGATTTCTTCAGAGGCCATTAGTGGATTTCCCTGGCAGGCGGGTGTTCTTTTGATGAAAAATGCATCACACCAGCTCAGCAGTTTGCAGATGTCACCTGGGGGGGCACCTGAGCTCTTGGGAGGAGACAAGGGCAGGGAGCCTGGGGCAGAGCAGTGCTGGTGCGTTTGGAGACTTCATTTTCACAATGGCAAAAGGGGGCTAGAGCTCGAGCTAGTTACCAAGACTTCTTTGATAAGACGGAAATGGTGAGCACTGTGCAGTCTGACCCCCTGCCAGTGTCACCTGAGGTGTGTGCAGACATTCCCCCAGTGCCTGCTCATGTTAACCTGCAGGTGAGTTCAGGTAAAACCTGCAGGTGAGTTCAGGTAAAACCTGCAGGTGAGTTCAGGTAAACCTACTGGCGAGTTCAGGTAAAAGCAGCTGGCCTTGGGTGAGATCTGTCAAGCTGAAGGATGTAGTAAATCAAGAAGAATTTTTGTCTGAAGTTGTTTAATTCTCCTTCATTAAGGAAAGCTTTACTTGGTGCAAGAGGAGGAAAACAAAAAGAATATTTCATTTGAGCTTTTCAGGTTGCTGGTCTGTGCCAGTGGTTTGTGGCTTCCCCAGCTGTGTGTGTAGCACATCTGAGAAGTGGGAAGAGGAGAATTGTTCTGCCCTGGGTGCCACAGGAGCCTCTCTGCTCTGGGGAGCACCACTGAAATGTGCAGCTGTGGGAAGAGGTGTGTCCCAGCAGTGAACTAGCCAGGGAAACCCAAATATTTCTGTTTTCTGTGTGAAGCATAAGAGCAGGTATACAGGACTGTGCCAGAGCTGCCGGCCCTGTGTCCCTTTATGACTGAATTCTCTTATCCCGAGGCAAAAACCATAGAAATCAGATCAAATAATAGCTTGTTTCCAACACTGTCTTCCCCCACTGCAGCAAATGCTTAGAAACAATTGATGTGAATTAGCAGCTGCTCTTTGCTTGTAAGGATTTATTGAAAGGAGTTGGGAGATTTTGGTCGTGGCTTTTTTTTTTTTTCTCCTCTGACCCTAGTCATTTTCCCCACATGCCTTTCTGAAAAAAAAAAAAAAAAGCTCTGTGATCTGGTCAGAGACAAAACAGGGAGGGGTTTGCCATGTGTGTACATAGTGCTTTAGGTAGAAAGCCTGCTAGTCTGTTAAAGCTGACTTTCCTTTTCAAAATTCCTGCCTGATCCTGAAACACAATGAAAACCTGTATTTGAATGCAAAATATTGATTTGTAGGTGTTTGTAAACCTTGATACTGCAGGTGGTGTCCCAAAAGATCAAAGACAACGCTAATAACTGCTATGTGATGTTGATGATATATTTAATATTTCAACCATGTCAGCGTACTTTTGGTCATTACTTTTCTAAAGTTAAGTCTTCTTCTCTTGAATAATCAATATCAGATGTTTGCATGATGGAAAGTAATTTAAGTTCACTCTTTAAAAAGCCGTGATTCATACTGTGGGTTAAGTTTGTTTAACAGATTAACATTTTCACTGATGGGTGGCAGTTTTTTTTTTCTTTTTAGTGCTTTTGATAGAAGAACATCTAGAACATTTTCCAACAAAAAGACATTTTTTCCTCCAGTTGTGGAAGAAATACTTTCCAAAAATAATTATTTCCAATACAGTTTGGCCTGTCTGGGTAACAATATGCAAGTATGTATATCATGTAGACGATGTGATTGAAAAGATTAAAGATCCCGTTTTGATAAAGTAATCAAGAAATTAAACTAGCAAGATTACAACCCTTTCTGACTTAAAATCTTGGGTGTGCCAATGTAATTGAAGCATTTGACCCCCACCAGATTTGAGGGCCAAACTATACACGTTTTATTTTAAAATTGACAACAGCCCAGACAAAGTTCTTTTACACCAGGAAATACTGAGAAATTTGGTCATTTTATATCCTGTGCTGTGAGGTTTGACTCCTGGCCTGGGACCTTGGGGCAAAATTATTTTAATGATGCTTATTCAGACTCAGCTATAGTAGCAAGTATCCACAAATCACTTGTGTACTACAAATTTAATCCCTCCTTGATTTTTTTTTTTTTCACTTCAAAAGGTGAGAAAAAGGCGGGGGGAGTGTAATTTTATATGGCTCTATTTGAAAAGGGTTTTCTGTACCTTTATAATTCTTTTGAAGCAATATTTAAAAAAATAACTGCCAGCCAAAGTGGCAATGCAGAAAAGTGCCATCTTGTTTAGGATTTGTACACGCCAGTTTTTAACACAGTGTTCTTTTCACTAAGTACTACATACGTTAACTTATATTTATATATTGTCAATATTGTTGTAACCAGGCTTCTCCTTTCTAAACACTTCAGGAACAAGGCCTTGTATTTTTAGGTGATTTTCATAAACAGAATAATTCTTTTCCTTTCACTAGTATCTTGCACTCGATACATGTAGCAATACTTAATATATTCTCTTCACAAGTATTTGTTAAGTGATTTAGTTAATGGCTGATAAATGTTTTGTACAAAATAGATTCTGTACAGGAAAAAAAATCTTTTAGATAAACATTATTTATTTTTACTGTTTTGTAAGTTAGACACTATAATGAAGCTCCTTTTTGCCAGAATTACTGGAAGTGCCTCTTGGTAAAATGTATTATACAGTAAATATGTATTCAAAATTATTAGAAATACTTGTCACAAAATGAACAATGTGGATGTTGCAATGTGAAGACAAATGTACAACATAAATATAATTCTGTGGTATCCTGTTGGCTGTGTTTCTTTTTCCTTTATTGAACAAAATTGCTTTCGGTACCTAGCTTTTAGTTTAAATGTCAGGCTACAAATGACTTGTACCCTCTTTAGACTCTGATTGAAATCCAGTGAAAGCTTCTATATATTGAAGTATATGGTGTATATATATATATATATGGTGTATATATATACCATTTTAGCTGCCAGCCCTGCTTGGTATCTGTTAGTGACCCAAGCTCATGTTTATTGGTGTCTGATTTCCTGAGACTTTTACCTGCAGAATTCTGCACTTTGGTTCAGATTAGTAATAAATCCCATGTTAAATATTTTGTGACTCAACCAATCTGTGGAAAGCCTCGTTGTAGCCATTGTTCTTTAATGATGACCAGTATTGCAGCACCCATCATCAGTGTACTACTCAATCCAATTAATATGGACCCTACAGACTGAATGTGTTACATGGCAGCATTGAGCCACAGCAATGCAGAGTGACTAATGCTTCCAGAGAAAATGAAATGTGTTACCTTAACAGTTTCCCATATTAATCATAGAAGTAATCTGTTAAAGTGGGACATCAGTGAGTGAAATCAATTTTCTTGCCATTATATTGGTAAGTATGCTGTCATTTTTCAGAGTAACATTTTACTAGTCTTTTATGTGGGCTAGAATTGACATCTAGCTACTGTCTTTGCTCACTGTTTATAATTTCAAAAAAGTATCTCACAGCTGTCAAGAATTTTACCCATTTTTAAAGTTTTATTATCTACTTTCATCAAAGACCTAGAGAACTCTTCAGCTAATTGATTTGAAATGGTTGCATAAAAATTATCTAGAAACACCATGCGTTCAAAGCCTCTTTTTCTATAAGTGAAAAATTAACAGGTTTCAAAATCCTCAAGAGTATCAGCTACATATCTGGCTCTCAGTTTTCAAATGCCCCCAGGTTTTTTTTCCCTCTGGCTAAAATTCTGAATGGAAGAAACACAAGGAAATTTACACCAGGCAGTGATTAGGAAGATACAAGTCAGGATCATTGCCAGTAGGAAAGTAAAATATGTTTATACCTATTCCAAGGGCACTGCTTCTAAGCCAGCAGCTGCTCTGTCCCAAACACTTAATATCTCAATAGCATGGAATTATTTGATGCTAAAATTCACAAAGAGGAATGAAACTGATAGCAAAGGAAAACTTTTCCCTCACTCCTTCTCCCCACCAAAGAGTAGGGGCTACCAAGGTAAGGAATGCACTTGTCTGAAAATCACCAGACTCCCTGTGGAGCTCTCCGAGCAGCCAGAGTTCCCATGGGAAGGGATGAGCAGAGAAGCTCAGGGCAGGAGCCGTGGCTCTGCTAATGAGGCCACACTGCCTCTCCTGCCTCTCGGGGAATAAAGGAGCCCATGACGCACAGTCCCCAATTAAATGTTGCATTTTCCAGGTGTTCGAACTACTCTCAATGGCTTGGGAAAATCCACTTGCCTAAAAGCACTTGAAGTTTTCCACTACAAGCACAATTCTCAGGGAACTCTTGAGGCTTTGTTTAGCAATGCTTTCTTCTAAGGTGTCTGCCAATTATCTCACCAAAATCCTGTGGAAATCAACCCAATGCCAGCACGGACTGCCCAGATACCATCAGGGATTCATTGTGGGATGGAAGAGCAAACAGCTTGGGCAGAGGGTGACCTGCAGCTGCTCCCCTGGCTGATGGGTCTGTAGCTCTGGGGTTGCCATCTCTCCCACCATCCAAGGGGGATTTTTAACCCCTCCACACTGGATTCCAATAGACCTGGCATGCTACAGTGCAAGCTGTCAAAACGAATTTGTTGAACAGTTTCGCTGCCAAGAGGTCATAGGAACCTTGCATTACTTCATGAGAAAACGTGCAAGTTTCAAGTTTAACTGGAAGTTCTGATGGCTTGTGTCACACCCAATGTGGATTGCTAGTTACAATCACTGAACAGCCTAGGATAGACACAGACTTAATACTTTGGAAGTCTGATACAGATAAAAGATTGCATGCAGCACCTGCTTGTGTTCAGCCAGGAAATACAGAGCAGAAGGTTCCTGTTCCATCTGCACAGTGGCTTCATTTAATGTGCCTTTTGTTGTTGCTGCTGATAAATTACTTCCCTTTACAGTCCTTTGCACATGGTGATTGTTTATTACTATTCTTGCCAAAGGCATCATATTCTACAAATTCAACACCTTCAGTGTAGTCAGCTCTTCTGCTCAATTCTCTGTACCTTCTCTTTCCACATTTCTAGGCAAAATCTTTGTGTTTAAACCTACTTCGAAGAACTTACCTTCATCAAGGAAAGTGCTATGGGACTTTTTAAGATTAATGGTATTAATCTCTGGTAACTGGACAAGTTCCAATTTCACTTATTACATCTTTATAGACAGAAATTCTCCCCAAAGCTCCAGTGAGTGCAAGTGCTTCCTGCCCTGAAGAATGTCATGTCACTGGATTTCTCATTCATCCTGTTTGTTGTAGTCCCTCAGAAACAGGTTTCACAGGACCCTCTGGGGTCTTTGCAAAGTGTGGTGCTGTATAAAAATGCATAGAATTATTTTCAAATTGCTCGTTAAAACCTGTCATTTCACTGGGGGGGGGTGCTTTGTTGGGTTTTTTGCTTGTTTTTTTTAAATTAGCTATTCAGGAAGGAAAACCTCTGAGCCATTTTACCTGATCAGTCACCTTCTGCAAGTGCTTTCAAGGTAATGTACAGCCACTGACCCCACTCCTAAACACTGGCTCAGGTACCCAGCACAGAGAGCATACACAGGAGAGATGATTCTGTTCTGTGGTCAGGGTGAAGCAAAGAAAGGCAACTCCTGGTTTTGAACATTTTTCTTCCATATGTCTCATGCAAGGGGTTGAAAATTTAAATATCAGCTATAATTTGATCAGCACCTCAGAGTAAAGAGACTATTCAGTAGGACCTTTGCATATCCTAATAACAAGAAGTTAGGTTCAAAATATAATTAGAACATTTTTCTATTGCTTTCCTGTCCTTTGGTAAGAAAACTATTCTTTGAGGATAGATCTGGAAGTCCTTAGTTGAACAAGAAGGTCCCCAAGGCTAAAATTCCCCCAGCAATCCCCAAGAGCTTCTAAAAGCCCAAATGGATTATTTGTCTCTTGTTCTTTGATGTAGAGAGGGTACCCAAGGTTTGCTCTGGCAGTGGGTTTCCTACAAATTTATATTCTTACCAAGCCTGTTCCTAGGACTGGCAACAAAAAGAAGAGGAAAATTAGTGTTCAGAAATTAATAATCCATAGCAGTAGAATAGCATAACTAGAGCAATTAAAATGTTATAGGCAGTGAAACTAGGATGCCTTATTAGTTAACTGCAAATGTCTTTCCTCTTTCTGCCTGTCCTTGGCTGCAAGCTAAACACTTACAGTAATTGTTGCTGTGACTGGCTCTCCTCTGAGTCAGTCCAGGTGCCAAGTGGCTCAGGGTTGGGGCATTTACATGTTAGCAAAAATAAAGTATTAAAGGAGCATTTGGCCAGTCTCAATGAGAGTAGTTGAAGACTCATTCCACCAAGAGTTTATAAGTGACTTTGCTTTGCAGCACAAAAATATTAAGGGATGCAAATGTATTCTCTGTTGGACTATAGCAATCACTTAAATTCAGATTTTAAGGTAATGTGGTATATCCTAATCCTATTTGTATGTTTTGGTTTGCTTTTTTAAAGAGTGTTTTCCTTCTAGCAGGTGAAAATGCATTCTGTTGGAATACATATTTTTAAAATGTCTTTTAGGAAGGAAAAAATTTCATGTTTGTAAAGACTGGCCCGTAAACCTGCTGTGGGCATAGGTATGAAGATTATGCTTGTCACAGCAATCCACTCTGGCTAGACAAGGCTTTGTGAGTGTAATTAATTTCACCTGTGCTTTAGAAATGAAGGTGGTCTGCCTTCTAATTTCCTGTAACTAATACAAAGTAGGATTGTAAAGAAAACAGAGCTCAAGGAACAAGCTTCTGTCTGGTTCTTTGTCCTGTAGCTGCTTTAAAGGCTTTGTTTCAATTACAGAATAGGAATAGATAAGTAGGCAATTTCTTGCAGAGTAAGAAAACCTTTCCTGTCTGGTTGATTGCCTTCTGATGGGTTTTGTGCCATTGTGCTGTGGGAGGCACTGAAAAGTGACAACCAAGGGCTGTCATGTCCAGCATTATAATTGGTGGCGTTTGTGTGTCATGTCTCAGCCCTTGGTAGTGAATTGTGTAGGTGATGAGTGCATCACCTTGAATGAGGCATTGTCTTTCCATGGGACATCCATGCCCTGCAAGGCTTAGAGGACTAAGAAATCCTACTTGGACTTTCTTTTCTGTCAGATTGACTTATGGAATTTTAGAGAGAATCCAGACTCTGAGCATCCTGAAAAGCATTGTAGAGGACATAAGTATGGTCATTTCTGAGGAACTGCTATAATTAGTTCATAAAGGAATGGTGACACTCTTCTGGAGGTGTAAGAAAACTTTCAGTAATGGAAAATACCTCCCCCAAGTGGTTTTGGGGAAGTTCCAGTTAAGATATCAACACCTATAAAGAAGTCAGGGAGGGCTCTGTAAGAAAATTTCAGTAAAAGACCAACTGTGATACAAACTTGAGATTTTACAATGAGCCAAAAAACCAGGAAAGATGAGAGGATTGCACTAAACCTTGTGGGCCTTGTTCTTCAAAGCACTGCTGCTTTCCAAATGACATAAAACCAGTCCAAAGGCGTTTTCCTGTCAGTGTGGAGATGCTTATCAATACAATTTGTGTCATGATGGGGTGTTGGAGAATTATGGGATTAAGGGATTTTTATAACAAATTTACGAATCTGATCATGAAACTTCACTTATTTGAAAGGACAGTGTGGTAAAGGTTACCAGTGGGAGAATAACTGGAATCTGTGTCAGAAATCTTTGAAAGCAGCAAGGTCAGCAATGAAGATCAGAGGTCATGCAAAACTAGCACAGATCCCCTATTGTGTAAGCTCAGTTTTCCTCGTAACTGGAGGAA